CCTGCTTTGATGTCGCCGTTTAGACTTCCTTTGACGGCTGTTCGCCTATAATAACGAAAAAGATCTAGTAGACCTGTTGAATAACTTCTCAATTTTGGACACTTCAAATGAAAATTTAAAAATCAATTGGCGTGTTTCCTAGAGTGAGATCTGTTAACCAGAGGTTGTGTAACTGCTGTCTCTTCGCCTTTCTTTTATCTCGATTCCGACTTGTAAAGCGCACATATAGTTAGACAAGCAAACTAGCTAGCCAATGATCTTTGGTTTAAAGAGAAAATAAATAAAAATTAAGTCAAAATATTAGACATTTATATTCAATATTACAAATATTTCAAACTGTTAAGTCAGGGTTCCTCGTGTTGACGCCTCTCGATTCTCCTCACCACCGATCGACAGCACCATGCCTCTACTCAGTTCCTTTTTCCTTTGAGCTGAAACACACCCATGAAAAAGGGTGGAATCGGGGCTTTTATGCACTCGAAATCGAAGTGGTTATACTCCATGAAGATAAGGAACCACACCTCAGCACGGAAATTGCGAGAATACTGCTTGGAAAACAAAGTCTTTGCCATACATGAGTCGTGAGTCCATAAATTATATATGATCTTTGAGATAAACAAACATGTGTACCTAGCAGATATAGCACAGGGTCTTACGTATGCAGAGAGAATCTATAGAATACATTTTTGTTGAGAAAGCAGAGAGTCGAAGCTAGTAAGAGAATATATTCAAATATAATTTGAACTTGGGAAATTAGTTAAAAAAAAGGTTATTAAAAGTATAAATATACTCCGGACTTACGAAATAACAGTAGATCTCTTCCTCGATTTGATCAATATCAGTTCTGAAATGGATCGTCTAACCCTCAGTGTCTAGCTTCTGTCAATGTTTTAATCTCAAAATTGAGACTTATTTCTATCTCATTGCCAACACAGAAAATAAGTCAGATAATTGGTTCAACAACAATTCGAATGACGCGGACCACCAGGGACCACACACACTTCACTCATATCCATGATGCAGTCTTGATCCGGATGGAAATGTGTATACATGGCGATCCGAGAGCATCGCCCAAATCCCTGTAGGCGATCCACAGCTGAATTACAATATTGTCTTGTTACACAATGTGGCCTACATAGATGATGGGGCTAGGTCTCGAGCACATATATACAAGGGCATCAGGACAAAATATCTAATCGACTAGACTAGCCCCCGTATAAATCATTGCCATGACTGGCTGAAAATTGCCTAGGTTCCGGGGATTTGACAGGTCTGATTTTATAAACATAAAATTTCCCCATCCATGTCTACAACGAAGGTTGGTACGATTATCTTATTATTGCCTACGAGACGCACTGCTCTGGCGTTAGATCAGGATAAAATAATGGAGATTGGCATTCTGAAAGTTGGATAGTAAAGGGATTTGAGGTAAGGAAGGTCCTTGTCACTCTTTTTTTTTTCTATTCAATAATCGGCACTGGTGATTTGAGGTTGAGCTCCTATCTGGTAGAATACATAGAAAGCCACGCATTTGACAATAAGTCTCTAGCCAAAACAGATATACTAGAATATACATGGATACCGAGAAGCAGAGTCAAGGCAATTCTGCTGTCAACGATACAGCGGGGGACTCTTCGAGCCTTGGCCTCAGGAAGGAAGAAACTCACAACGCCGAGACAACGGATTCAACGGTGCCAAACCGCCAGTCAAGCGAACATCCATATACCGTCTTGACAGAAAAGGAGAAAATATGCACGATTATCATCTCGTCATTTGGTGCTTTCCTCTCCCCCGTATCCGCCAGCATTTATTTATCAATCCTGAATTCCCTATCGAAAGATCTGATGGTTTCCACGGCCAAGATTAATCTGAGTATTACAGCATACATGGTGAGTACTTTGTTTGAGTGTTGTGCCCTTTAAATCACCATTCACTGAAGTTTTCTCGTAGATATTTCAAGCTTTGGTACCTTCTATAATCGGGATTTACTCGGATAAGAATGGTCGACGGCCGGCCCTCTTGATCTGTTTTATTGTTTCACTTGGCGCGAATATAGGCCTAGCTGTACAGGACAGCTACATTTCTTTGATAGCTCTCCGCTGTCTCCAGGGTTCTGGGAGCAGTGGGACGATAATAATTAGCACTGCTGTTACTGCCGACATTGTCACCAGAAGCGAGCGCGGTAAGTATACTGTTTATTCATCTTTGGGCATGACCCTTGGTCAAGCACTTGGTCCTCTTATTGGCGGGATTCTAAACCATTTTTTCGGCTGGCGGTCTATTTTCTGGTTTCTTACCACCTATTCGGGCCTTATGGTTTTGCTTGTCGTCTTTTCCCTCCCGGAAACAAGCCGCAGCGTGGTGGGAAATGGAGCTCGTCCGCCGCAGATATGGAATGAATGTATCATGGATATGATATCTCAGAAGCGACAGCGGAGAATCCAATTTAGCGAAGATCGAGCTGTATCAACACATAACCGCCGTCCAAATCCCGCTGAGACCATCAAGATCGCAATGGAGAAAGAAACCGCTATACTTCTTTCTTTTAGTGCGTTATTATTCGCTGGATATGTCTTTGTACTCTGTAGCCTGCCCTCCCAACTGGAAAGGAAGTATGGATTCAATTCCCTCCAAATTGGCCTGTGTTTTCTCCCGTATGGAATCGGCAGCTTGGCGTCTCGCTGGGCGGTTGCTACTCTGGCAGATTGGAATTTCAGTCGTCATTGCAGTCGCCTTGGCATCAGAATTACTAGAAACCGTCAACCGCAGCTCTCAGGTTTCCCTCTCGAGACGGCAAGACTGCAGATTGCATTACCGCTGGTATATTTATCTTGTATATGCATAACGACTTACAGCTGGGTTATGACTTACAAGACTAATCTTGCTGGGCCGCTGATCCTGTTGTTCTTTACTGCATGCACTATTTCTGGCGCATTTGGATCAGTATTCACTCTTATTATTGATTGTCACATGAAAAGACCGGCAACAGCAGCGGCCGCAAGTAATCTCTTTAGATGCTTTTTCGGTGCAGGCGCGGCAGCAGCAGCCGTGCCACTCATCACTAAGGTCCGAATTGGCTGGACAGGGACAATTGTTGCGTCAACCTGGGTAATCTCAAGCCCTCTGCTTTGGGGAGTTATGAAATGGGGTCGCCATTGGCGTGAGGAGGGAGGAGGACCCAGAGAAAGAGCAGATCGAGAACGAATCTAGCGAACAAGAGTAAGCAACTGTAGTTCTTAATAATAGCAGGGAAACACGAAGCAAAGGCAGCACCTCACCAAATCCATCATTGTGCACTGGCAGAGTCATGAAGACGCTCATCGTCCAAGAAGCTGTAGTCTGTGGAACCAACCATGCCAGATCTTGGAGGTTTTAGAGCGCGAAGCTCATTCATAGCTATATCCACATAGTTGAGGAAAACACTTCTTTTCTCTCCAAGGGGATAAATCAGGAAGCACGTCGCATAGCGGCACAGCAGAACATTTCTCCATCAGGATGTAGGAATATTTGACGACCCTGCATGTGAAGTGCGGGGAAGTTGGAGGAACACTTGCGAGATAAAAAACAGCTATTAATTAATTCCCAAGGATGTCTCTCTACCGGTTAAATAAATAGATGTATGAAGCTGGATGTCAATCATTCAACAATCAGCCACATTTGATATTGCGTATACAACTATCACGCTGGCTAGTTACCGCTGCATTCACCCCGGACGAAATTTCCCCAATAATCCCTTGCGAGGACCTCCATAAGAACCCACACTCCAACCCTGAACTCTCCACCAAGAGTTCAATACTGCCCAAAATGTAAACGGGGTTATATCGATTCCTCCCTAATTGGCCTTGCAGCAATACTTTGGAGGATTTGGGTGTCTGGGTGCGGCAGTTGGGAAGCCAAGTTTTTTCTGTTTTTTTTGGGTGTGTGGATCCGCAGGTGTGGGATGAGGCGGAGAGGAATGAGACGGTTGCGAGGGATGTTCTCCTTTTTTTATCCCTGTTGTGCAACCGATTATGCTCGCTGGGACGGATGCGTTGGTTGCGGCGGCATTGACTTCTTAGAAAGAGGGAGTGAGAATAGAGATGTTTCTGTGCTGAGGTGTTAATCGCACTTCTCACCGTAAAGTGTTGTGTTAAGGGACTGACACTTCATGCGTGATGATATGACATGACAAGCATTCATTTAAACCATCTTTCTCAACAAGACACATACGTACGAAATAATCCAGGACACCGAAAGTTTTTAATACTAAGAAACCAAAAATAGATCGGAGCAGGAACACCGTATAGACGTATACGAATCGTACTCATTCATAAAAGGAATATAGATGTCAGAATATGTAAAGATAGAATAGAAGGTATAAATACATATGTAACAAAGCATGGGAGCCACCCCCTTTTCCCACCTCTCTCAAAAGCGTTTATGCAAAACGGGGAAATAAGAAAAATTAAGAGCAAAAAGTATGAGAGGAGAGAGCAGAAATGCAGTGAAAGAAGTGAATGTTTAGCATCTCATTTCCTCTTTTTTGTAACAAATGGTCAGTCCGTTGCCATTTCTATTCGGCCTCATTGAAAGAGTAAAGGGGCAGAGAGAAATGGTAGTTTCCAGCAAGGTGGAGATAGGAGCAACGGTATTATTAGTAAGAATGACTAATGATGATACTCCTGGGAAGGAGATATTCAAAGCGTAACTGTGTTGGGTGGAGGGGAAATTAAAGTAAGGGCCTTCTTATTCTTTAGAATAAGAGGAGGGTTTTCGGAGTCTGTTATAAACCCGATAATCATAAAATAAGGTGGAAAGAAAGGATCAAACGTCCCCCAATAATATATGCATACCCTTATCTGTCCCCCAATGCATTTCCCAAACATGCAAAAAAGGAAAAAACATTAGGAAAATCCAAACCAAGAACGAAAAGGGTGATATAATCATGTCTATCCAAGGGCTGACAATATAAAAAAACGTTATCCATTATCCTTTTCCCGTGGGTTCTTCTTTCATTCCTTTCAAGCCATCCGGTTCGACCTTTCGACCTCCTGAAATGAACTCTGTTTCCCAATCACAATGCCTTCATCCTCCGATTCATCATTTTCATCCTCATCCTCATCATCACAGTCATATCTGGACTCATCCTCGTGGTGTTTGTCAGACACTGTAGCCCGAACTGTAACAGTGTCCCCAGTACGAAGCTCTGGAGGCACCTGACCTGGACCATCTAACTCCTTTTCCCGCTCTGCTTTGTGACTGTGGAACCCTTCAGCTGAGAGTGATGATGCACCCGATATCACAGATGGAATGCTGGGGTGAGAAGCGGAGTGGGACATCCCACTGTTAAAGTCATCAGCGGAGGATGAGGACATGGTCGCTGCAGACTGAGGGGACGTAAGCGGTTCTCCAACGGCATGCTTGTATGGCTGAGGCGGATCTCTTGCTATCCGATGCCATTCAGTATCTATTGAGGACATTGCTCCTCCATGAGGTTGCGGGTTCTGGCCAGCCAAATCTCTGTGCTGCGAAGCAACTGTCTGCGGATGATGGCTTTGATCTTGTTGCTGCATTCGTTGTCGTAGAAGTGTCTCACGTGCAACATTGAACGATTCAGGAGACGGATCATGGGCCAATTGATGAGAGCGGGATCGATAGTGGGATGCGCTCCTTCCAACTATACCATCATGACTGATCGACGAGGCTAACGACGCTGAAGATGTCTCTCGCAATAAGTCGGGGGATTGAACGTGACCCGTAGCTGATGCTGTACTAACAGCAACCACGGGATCAGAGTGCCCATCTCCATCTATAGATGCCCGGTCTGTAGATTGAGATCGTTCCCTTCGCCAATCGCGGCTCTGAAAACCACTTGATATACGACGTCCGGTACCTCCAAAAATACCACCGACACTAGATGAGGCTAGTGGTTCGGAGGTTGTGGTGCTTGTTCGAGGCCGGGATTGAGCTACAGCTGTATTCAATGGCCTAATTGTTTTAGTGGAACCGGAACTTGAAAACGTCGAGGATGTTCGTTCTGGAATGTCGGGCCGTTGTTCTTGGTCTTGAGTGAGGAGGTCCTTAGGGTGTGATGTTGAACTGGAGTTGCTATTCCTTCTGGAAAAACTGGAACCCTCAGTCGAAACGGGGCTTGCGAGAACGCTATGTGAAAGTGGGTGTTCGCCATCTCTGGTGGGTCTGCTAGTTGACCGGGAAATTTCTTCATCGTCCCTCAAGCTTTTCTTTCTGTGGTCCCCAATAGCATCCTTGCCAAGCGTGACACTACTCGAAGACGAAGTCGAATACATTAGGTCAGAAGTTGCTGAACTGGCTGCTCTCTTCCGTCCATCTTTCGACCGACCAAAAATAGTACCACCCCATTTTGCCACATTTGAACGCACTCGCTCGATAAAAGGCATTTTCGTGACTGCCTTGGTGACTTCTTCGTTTGAAACCTCGATCCTCTTGCCCTTGCTTTGATAGCCAGGATCCGTCGTTTCAATCCAATGCTCCTTGTCAGAAATATCGCTAAGTACCCACGGATGATGCTTAATCTCTTTCAAAGTGATTCGTTTCGAAGGATCCTTAGTGAGCAAACGTCTCATGAGATCACATAAATTGTCATCGATATCTTCATAGGCAAGCTCATCGTCCAATCGCTTGTTACTGTTCATAACCACCTGAGGGTCAAATGACTGGCTTGAGGATGCCTCCACTTCCACTGCTTTTAGACGTTTCCTTGGAATAAACACTTCACTTTTCACGATATTCTGAAACAAACTATATTCATCGTTGCTAACGAATGGTAGACGTCCAAATATCATGCCATACAATGTAACCCCTAGTGACCAAACATCGATTGCGCCCGTGATCTTTGGAACTTTTCCAATTTGGTTCTCAAACTCTGAGCCCGTATAACACAGTTCTGGAGCATAAAAGGCTGGAGTTCCAACAGTCTTTGAAAGCTCACGAGCATCGTCTAATTCAGTAGCATCCGTCTCCGCGACCTGCTCCTCATCTTCATCCCGGATAGGCCGCCCAAGGTAGGACACCCCGAAGTCAGATATTTTTACCCGGCGACTTCTTGTAACTAGAAGGTTTGCAGGCTTAATATCGCGATGTATAATGCCCTGATAATGAAGATACTCAAGACCAAGCACGGAATCTCGGAATGCACGTCGAGCTTCGGAAAGTGTCAAGCAAGGGACATACGACATATCATCGTCATCATCCAGAAACTCCGGTTCAGAGGAGTGAGAAGTGAAATGACTCGAGACAGTGCTTTGACGGCGTAAAAGAGAAACCTTGGGTACATATGGCCCATACATGCTTCCTTCCAGCGCAGCTAAGCCCAAATCGTGCGGGTTATCATCTGGCTCATCTGCAGAGGTTGTAGGCTGGGAGGGGAGAGAATGCGATTCAGAGTCGTTCTGGATAGGAGGCGGGGGTTCAGGGCCCGTTTCATCGTCTGACACTGCACCATGTTCCAAACTCCATGCCTGAACTCGCGAGAACTGTGGTGCTATCGACCGCCTCTTCTTGCCCAATGCCTCTCGCTGTAACCTGAACCGTCTGAGGGTCTCCTCGACGAAAGATGGAGATTCCGGAATTCCTTGCTTCTCTTGTTCGAGCCTGAGTTTATCCACGGCTACAATATCCTTATGCCCTTTTTTGCGCCATACTATCTCGCCATTCTCCACATACTCCAGCACAATATAGACCTTCTGTTGATTAGGGTCGTCGATAACCTCAAGCAGACTAACGACATTCTCATGTCTAGCTTTTTTAAGGATGGCAACCTCTTTTTTAACCTTATCCTCTGGATTACCAAGTTTTCCTAATCGACGACGTTTCGAATATCTTTGCACGATTTTGATGGCTACTTTCTTTCCGGTTCTCAGATGTCGACCGAGTTTTACTTTCCCATGTTCACCTCGACCTAGCTCATCAAGGATTTCATACTCATTGATGAGCTTGTTGCCAGTGAGAATATCACGATCAACCTCTACTGTGTGTGTTCTGCAGCAATATGTCAGAAATGAATCCACTGTAACCATTCAAAGAAGTGGAGGGATTGACAACGTAAAGGGGTTATGAAGGGAAATAATAATAATAATAATAATATTAATATTAATATTAATAATAATAATAATAATAATAATAACAATAATAACACTTACTCTTTTGGTTCCTGAAGATGAGTTGGATGTAGGTACGAAAAAGGAGTACGAACTCCGACAGACTTTAGTGAAGACGGATTGGCATAATGGGGAGAGAAAAGTCCAGGACTAGAGATGGGTGTGCTTCCAGCTATTCGCGAACCTTGTCCACGGGAGGCAGATTCGCGAAGGTTCCATGTTGGGCCCGAAGACGCCGATGATATGGGGTATGGTAAGGGATGAGAGCTGCGAGAACGAAGATAGGGTTGAGCACGGGTGGGATGAACCTGGGATTGAAGAACTGCATAAGATTGGTCGGGATATACAGGTAAATCATTCACGGAATTTTCAGAGGGGTGCGAAGGGGTGGGATGCTCCGATAACGGACTGAGGGGAGGATGGGGAGCTTCAGGAGCTTTTAGAGTTGACGACTGATGTGATGGAGACGTTCCAAAATAAGAGGTTGAATAGTCCGTGGCAGGTTCCAGACCGGCTTGATCCGCTAAAGAGCGTAATGAGCTAGATGAAGTATTGGTCGAAGAGCTCCTGGATGCATTCGAAGAATGTGGTCGGAAGGGAAACATATGAAGCCTTTGGGTTAAACCACGACGTTCCTCTAGACGACCATCAGGCTGTAGGCTCCGCTGGCGATTCGACCCACCTGTTAACTGCCTTGAGATGGGGCCAAGGGTGACAGAAGATCTCCGCGGCCTTGACCTGCGACCTGCAGCATCTAAGCTTTCCTTGCTTTCCCGGGGAGTAGAGTTGTCGAGCGGCTGGTGTGATACCCTTCGACCTCGACCATCCCACTCCTCCTGCGCCCTGGCAGGCGATCCTCCTGAATTATCCATCCAAACCAAAAAGAGGTAAAAAGAAAAGAAAACCTCGGATTTCAAGCTGCTTCGCTATGGTGCCCACCCGGTTTTGATCCCCTATGTTAAGGCACCTCCTATCCCGGCTACTGTCGTCCTCGAGGGAATATGCGAGCCGTCCAAGTCACTGTTTCGAGAACGGCCACAGGAAGAAAGACATGGTAAACCCACCATTCCTTTTCAGAAAATCAAAAGACAAGCTTTACTCCTCATCTTTTATTATTTGCTCGTTCATCCACAGACAGTATGGATTTCACTTTCATGCGAGGGTTTAGTAGGCCAGCTATCTAGCCCTGCAATCGAAGAAACGGGAGTGAATCAATGGCACATTTAAGCATCGGCAATGCGGTGTCTGTTTCCTGAACAACTGTGGCGTAAGGCAACAACCAGGATACGCAGAAAATTTCGTCTACCGTATATGCGATAGTCGTCGACGTAGGTGGTGTTCGAGATGCAATGGGAGGCCGAGTGGTACCAGAATGATCGTGGGCTCAGCGGAGAGAAGTGAGAAAATAAGCAGCAAAGGAACGTCGATCAACGAGGATTGGAAAATATGGAATTAGGGGTAGGGAAAAGGGTGTTGTTTAATTGCAGAGCTCCGAGAGGGGCGGGCGAGGTGGGAGACGGACAGGTTAAGAGTATGGTTGAGAAATGCAAAAAGTCTATTAGTTCTGGTTTGGTTACGTAGGTCTCCCAAGGTATGTACAGTAACTAACTATGTATATACATTGTCACGAAGCTTGCAAAGCAACGTATTGAATTAGTGTATGGGTATGTACGTGTATATTCTATATACGTAGTGTGTATTAGTGATTGTTGTATGGATGTATACATATCCTGTTGAGTAGAGCAGTTGTTTGAAGGTCTGACTGGACTCTTGAGGGTGCAACAACTGTCGCTTATGAGCAAGTGAAGGAGGAGAGCAAAAGTCAAAGGTGATTGGGCGGGGTTGTAGTGGGTGGAATTCTACGTGGATGAGGGGAAGTTTTTGGTGCTGCGCAGGGGCCGAGGGGTGGCAGGGAGCCACTACCAGAATGGGTTCACTTGCGCTGTACTAGGGTAATATTGTTATTACAGCGGCGTCCTGACGATGCCATCCCAGGCCAACTGGAAATGGGCGTGCTTCTACCGCAAGTCGTGGCTTTGATCCATGTTTTTGCTTGGAACTTGCCGCTGGAGACGGTTGGGATCCCTAGCGGCGGTATCAAACAAGAAAGTCCTGCTGGACAGCTGGAGAGGTGGACCCTGGTTCGTAATGTACTGTGTTTACACTCACTAGTAATTTACAGTAACTATCGTAATTATTAGTCATCTCGATGCAAAGTTCTGTCCAAACTTTCTCATGTTTAACGGAGTAAAATCCATACATACATATATTATTCAAAATGCTTTATATCACTTCGGGTTGGAATTCTCTGTTCGAGGATTGCAAATTCTCGGATATATTTATTAATCTTGTCTATCCCGACTCTCATTTTTGCAGGCATATGTAAACCCAAACTTACAGGCCCAAAGGTCGATTCTTACAAGCGCACACAATGACCCCGTGTTTCCGCACACTCGCATTTCGGTGTCCGGTAGATAGCACGCCTAGACAAATCCCAGGGAAGCACCGACTATGGCAGAGGCTTGTTGTCTATTCTCTCTCCGGACAAGGGGTCCCTTGGCTTCGAAAAGTTGGCAGCGACACGCGGGAGCTGGGTGCCCAGGATAGTTTACGTCCGAGAGTCTGAAACAATAATGTGAGAGGATTTTCTCCAATCGTCGTAGAAATCTGGAAATTGGAGTGGACGAAAATCCGACATTAGGCACTCTGGGGGAAGACGAGGATTCTCAAATCGCTACTTGCTAGCTAAACAAAGCCGCCGAACGCACCTAGGGCACGCCTCGGATCACTGCTAAAAAGGCACATGAAAAGAGTCGTCGTCGCTGGGATAAGCAAGGTGCTTACTTTGGAAATGGAGAAAGCGCCAGGCTAGCAAGGGTCAGGGATAAGAGAGTGATGTTTTGCATAATAATTTGGGGTTGGCGTGGTTATTCCGCGATGTCAAAACAGGCAGAGTTTACCTAATTCTCGACTCAACAGGGTAGTTCGTTATGTGCGTGCTACGGGCCAAACCTAGGTTTACGGTCCCTGGATAAACCAAGACGAATAATTTTTCGGGCAACACGCTGATAATAATAATGCCGTTGCATAATCCAACATAAAATCGGCACGATTCTGCTTGTTCTTAACCCACCATAGACGCATTCATGTTCATGTTCCCGAACTTTTATGTCCAAGAGCAAGCTTCAATTTCTTTGAAACGGTGCTCCCCAGAGCATGATTACAGCCTTTTAACCACTGATCAGTTATTTTATGCCTAACAGGTGTGACCTTGTCAACTGTTAGAGCGGAGAATCGCTTATTCGGCATTGCAATCAACCTGCAGGCTTGCAGCTTCCAAATACATAGGTATGCAATTATAGATACACATCATCATACATGACTCGAGAGAAAGAAAAGCCACCAGTGCAAAACAACAAGTGAAAAAACCCTACAATCTCTATCTAGCGAAAGTGACTGAGTTTTCCCACAATTCTCGGCGGAATGATCCATGTTCATTCTTTTAAGTCTGCAAATTGACGCCTTCCACTCCAACATGCAGGCGGGCACCCCCACCCTAACCCCGTCCAATACCAGCGTTGATGATGTTAAATTCAATCAGATATTCCGCGCCGACTCAGCCCAGGAAAGCCTGGGACATCTTGCCCTTAGTGCAGTCCCTGTAGGGTAATATATAAAAGGCGGATCACGGTTGAAATTCAGTGTCTGATGTTGACGCTTGGTCCCGTCCACCTAGGCTGACCAAGCGACAAAGAAGATTAGCAGCATCTGTCCGGTCAAAACCCAAAATAATTTACGTATGAGTTACCACTAGATTATGAGAGCGATACCGGCAAGACGGTCGCATCAAACATTCTGCATTTAATGCTTGGCAGTATTTGCTTGTACATCCCTGCTTCTATATGTCGTGCGCAATTATTCTTTAGTTTCTACCGTCAATCATCATAGGGGAAATTAGCCGCGCGAACGCTCGAGAGGCAACGCATGTCACGGCAAAACTTTCAGTATTAAGCATTAGACTCCGCTGTATAAACTCTCCCTTAAAGAAAAAGCAACCAAGGCTACGTTGACGTATTACGAACCACTCGATCGTGGTTGGCTAAGAGCGCCGCCATCTTTAACCCGAAAAAGCTAAACGAACCACCGGCACTGGAGAAAGGGAAGAATAAAGTAGCCGAGAGAATCCACCTTGTCAACTTTGGCTGTCCCAGCAAGATAAAGTCCTTACCATGCGTAAGAAGTTACCTATTGTGGGGAGGATTGATGCTTTCTGGAGGCTGTTCAAACCAATCGCTTATAAAGAATTCGTCATAGACTTCCGATAACAGAAAGGGAACGGGCTCTTTGTTCCTTATGTTTTGGCTTGGATATGGACGGGAAGCTTGTTTGTCTTTTCTTTTTTCTACCGACCCGATCAATGGTATTTATATTTTTAGTTTAGGCTAAAGAATACCATTTCGAAACATGACCCCTTGCGGTTAGCTTTGAAATTCTTAGCTCCTCCGAGCAGAGAAATTTGCGATGAAATCATCGTCTGCAATTAGTACATGCACCACAGAAGGGAGGGAGCAAAAACCCGCGCAAAGTGACAAGGACTTTTTTTTCCCCCTCAAAAAGAGTATTGCTCGATCCTACTAGGGGAGATTTCTCCTATGCTGTCATCGATTAATTAAAATTTCTCCAAGGATTTGCCTCAAAGCTTTAGTTTAGCATGCTGTCAAAATTTCTTGCTTCCATCGTTCCACAATGAATAAAGTTATTATTCACGTCTTACTTAATAATGGTCTTCCTCTTTTTTCATAACCCGATCTGGGAAATCGGCATAAAGGTATTCATTCCCACAATACATTGGACGTCAGAATCTGGCATGGCGCAAAAAGAATATGGACGGAGAGCATCTTCCGAATCTGACAAACGTAGTTATGGAGCAGATATTTCTCCGACAGGAAATACAACCCATCATGATTTTCATCTCTTCTCTCTGATTGGCCTAAACTGGTCTTTCCGTGACAGTGACACAACATTACGGAAGATATATGTGCAGCAAGCATGGATCCAAACCATCGTTCCACTCTCTTGTTTGATTCGTTTCCAAATTTGCAGTCCTGGAGCTGTCTAGTTGCCCCGTCCTTGTCTCCGTTATTTCATGTCGGTTGAGCAGGAACGGGTTTTCATTTAGCCGCTGGGGCAGCGAGAAAAGGTGCCGTGGCCTTTAAGTTGATGAGTATTTAGTAGGGCACCAAGTCTTCGATCGCGATCCACATGCAAATGAGGAGGGATACTGGTGATTGAATGTTATCTTAAATCAGTGGCAAAATCTTTCATGTATTTGTACATACATTCATAGGACCGGAGTTCATCGGCACCTCAGCGATGGCTTGCATCTGTGCGTCTGTAGTCACTGCAGCCATGCGGTGTTACAGAACAACCTTGCTGTCCCTTGCAGGTTGTATGAAGTTGGTTTTGGTAAATCCCTTACTTTACATACCGGAACCTCTACCAGGTTCTTTTACAAAACTGCTGGCCTTACAAGGAAATTATGAAGCATTATTTGTCCAAAAATGGTTGAGTGCGGCTACTTATCTTCTCTGGAACGCACGTTGACCACCAAGCTGATTAACCGGGCATACGGACAAACAATTCCAGCCCCGGTCATATATCCGTGAGCTTTGAAAAGTTATAATAATAAGACGATCATGTTATGAAAGATGTTGGCAGACTGAAGGCGCGAGCTGAAGGCATAAGCCATTATATACGTCTGTTGCAATATCTGAAAGCCAGATGTCGTGTTTTTAGAAAAGCCTTTACATGCCACACATATTTATAATAACTTATTAGTTGCAGCCGAAAATCACGAGAAGTGTATTCAAGATGATCTAAGTGAACGTTGAACAACCATGCTCTAAGCTAACCCAGATGATGGCTCAAGCTGTGGTTGGATAAGCGAGTTAGCCACGTAAGTGCGTGAGCTACCTCTCAAGTATACATGTGTCTCTTGACTTAAACAAGTAAAAATATCAACAATTTAAAAGTCATTAAGCCTTCTTTCTTTCAAGGAAAACCCTTTTTATAACAATTCAAGGACTTGAAAAAGATCAAATTTCAAGTATATGAACAGCAGCAAAATTATATGATGTTTCTTTATTTTTACTCATTGTATTAATGATCATAAAATATAGTTATATTCATATGATATTTATATTAAATAATACTTAAAGAACTGAAAATTAGTTTTACAGAGAAAGTTTTTTTTATAAAATAATTCACAAGTAAGTTGATTATACAAGCAAGTTAATCACTTTCTCACTTATTAAATTTTAAAAGTAAATATAATAACAATCACATAAAAAAAAAAAAATTAATCATTATCAAGAATTAAATTAGCTTTCACATATATGAGTAGTATGTTTAATAATATTATATATACTATACTGTAGTGCTGCTCATTTTTATGATTAAAAATTAAAAATATCATAGCTTTAATCTAGATGTAAATTAACAAATGTTTGATTATCAGCTAGATAAACTATCTAAGTGAATATTAAGATAATTTCTAAAAGATAAGTTCAGAAAAAACTCTGTTTATATAGCTCTTTTCTTAGTGTAGTTGCTAAGCTATTGTCACATTTACATATTATTCATATATGAGGTAAATGTAAGGTTGTTTGCTATTATCTAGATAGTTGTAATTACTGATTGCCTCAGCCTGTGGCAATTACACTATCAAGAAAATTAGATATAAGCCTGTTTTATATCATCACATTACTCTCTCTTGAAGTCTAGATATGTTTTCATGCTAGTAGATTATCATCTGCTTCATCTGCTAGATGGTTATTTTTTTCTCAAGTCTTAAGTTATTTACTTAATCAGTTTGAAAGCTCTACTTTTATTGAATTTACAGCATGAAATTATCAAATCAAATGCAGTGATCTCTTTAAATTTTGTACTGAATATTATATTGAATCTTCATTAAATCTTAATTGATTCTGATATCTTATTTAGTTATTCTGATAGAAGATAATTCACAATTTTTCATAGCTTATTAGAAGAGAATATTGAGTGAATTTTTATACTATTTAATAGTCTTAGTCTGTAGCTATTGTCAACTTTCTCAATGATTTTAAAAAAAGTCTTTACTTTGCTTTGTGAGCTTTCTACTGAAATGTTAAATTTTATAGTTTTTAAGTGACAGAAAAGTCTTATGTTCTACTTCAAAGTTTGACTTCTAACAGTGCTTATTGATTTATAATTTTATAATTCTTTGTATCTTTTTCATATTTTCTGCTATTAGCTTTCAAATCTTCTTTATTTGAATGATATGATATCAGACATCTTCTTATTTGAGCTTTTTTTCTCTAGATAATATCTTCAGCAGTGACTTTCAATTAAAGAATATTTAAGATTCATATTCATAAGCAGTTAAAAAATATATCATCTCAGTTGATTTATTTATCAGAGCTTTAGCTGCATGATTCATTATTAACAATTACTTATTTCAGTTATTTTGATAGTAGTTTATATACAAATGAAGCTTGATCATCAGATATTAATTGACAATTTCAGTCTGATCATCTGTTTGTATATGACGAGTTAATAAAAGCTTTAACTTAACTTTCAATCATCTGATGAACTCACTTCAAAAGTCTGAAATGAATTGTGACTCATGATCTGATACAATTGAATCTGATACTTTATAATATTCATAGTAGTACTTCAAAAACAGTTTTATCAGCTTTTTAACATCTGTCTTTTTTATGATAGAAATAGATATAAACTTCTTACTTAGTCAATAGATAATTATCAATATTGCATCATGATCTCTTTTTATCATAGATTCATTTATAAAGTTTATTGAAATGTGTTGTTAAACTCTGCTAAAAATTGATAATAACTTCAGTAGTTCTGAAGTTTTATCATAAAAGATCTTCATTTATTCACAAAATATATAATTGTTTATATACTATTCAATATCTTTGATTCAGCTATTTTAATAATATTTAATCTTCACTAGCAAGTGTAGCTTTTTCTTCTCAAAATGTGTTGTTCATAACTGCTCATGAATTTTCTATAGAAGATATACTCAGAAAGTAGAATCTTTCTTAATTAATATTACTAAATGCTCTTTAAAGTACAAAAGTTCATTCATCAGCTTTTAGTACTGTTCTTTCTGTTGTACTTTTTCACATCATGATTTCAATAATTTTTTCTCTCTGTTTCTTGTCTTGACTTCATCAAAAATATATATATCTGTATTTATAGCTTTAATCTCAATAAATTTCTTAATAATCTTTAAGTTCAATCTCTGTGACTTGAGAAATAGTTATATTCAAATACTTTTATTATCTTTCTGAATCTTCAGTTAACTCAGTACATCTGCTAATATATTCTAACATTCAGACTGATACTGAATTAGAAAGTAGAATTGAGAGAGAAACTCTGCTCAGTGCACTTGTCAGATATTAAAATTTTTAGTTATCATAAAGTACTTAAGAATTTAATAATCAGTCAAAATCTTAAATTTCTCTGTTTTTTGAAAATCTTTTAGCTTAGTATATTATTCTGTTAGTGCTTTTACAATTACTATTATCTTCTTGTCATAAATTTTATAGTTTCTTTTTACTTTATTCATTGACATAGAGTAAAAAACAACTAAATATAACTGCTTATTTT